AAATTGAGGTACAAAAGTTAAAAAATGTTACGATTCACAGCGTAATATATTACTAGTTTAATGTAAAAAACTATGTAACTCTACGAAAGAGTGAAGGTGAAATAATGCATAGTAATGCTACATGGTTTATTCTGTTTATTCTACAGTCAAACTGATGCTATCCAAAAGAATTCAAGTTTTGAGATGGTGGGGAAAATTTAAAGCTCAGGAGGATGATTGTGATGGAGTTTCATTCTGTGAGCAGGATGTTCCGATTGTATTGCTCTCATTCTTCTTCTTCTTCTGACCAACATCATCAACACATGCTTCAAGAAGGAAGAACAATGCGAGTTCCACAATCAAAACATCCAGCTCAGAGAGAATGAAACTTCACCACAAAAATTCAAGTTTTTGATTTTCTGTTCTATTCTTTTTCATTGTATATTTGGGTTGATTTGTTGTAACTAATGAGAAAGCTTTAAATACAAAACAGGAATGAATACATATATTATTCCTCATGTACAATCTATGATTGTATGTTTCTGTGTAAATATGTAAGAGAATTCCGCCATGTTTGTCTTTCTCTCTCTCTCTGGAGACTATTTCTTTGTTTCCCGATTTATATGTGAGCTTTTTCTCCTATCGTTGTCCTTTGTTGGTGAATTTGTTTCTAATCATAACCCAGCGAACCGCTCTGGGTTCGAGTCCTGAAGTGAACATCAACTCTGAGAGACAATTACATCCAACTGACGAGTCCCAATTAGGATGAAACACTATTTACTGGATTCCAGTGCTAGCTACTATTCACAATCTACTAATAATAACAAATAAGATCATCTTCGATCGATATCATGAATTGTATACGCCAACTATACTTTATTGACTTGATATCTTACTAGTTTGTCCAATGTCACAATGTTTGTTTATATTCATTCAAATTAAGAATTGATTACAATCATAGTGGTGTTGTTTAATTCTTATGGATAATTAAAAATTTTATCAATAACATAAATATGACATAAAAATCAATTTGTTCAATATATAAATTAAAAAAATAGAATATGAATGATAATTGGCGCGGCATACAATTTAAATTTTCATCAACTGTATACAAACAACATTGAATAAATTAATAAAGTGTATTGGAATTGAACTGAATGTCAGTCATTTAAAGAGGAATAAAACTAATAAAATATGGATTACGTATTCATTGTAAGAAATATTATGACAAAAGTTTCATAGCAATCTGATGAACTGGTTAAATGGTAATTGGACATTGAACGGCTTCGATAACAAATAACTAATTGAAAAGAAAATAGTTTAAAAATAAATTCAAAAGTCGGTTATGAAATATTTTAGCTTAAAATGATGATGAAAAACTATGACAGCATTGTATTTCATTTAGGTGATGAATTTAGGTGGTTAACAATGACTTCAGAGAAAACACTAATTAATATAAAGATGATTATTTTACTCATAGACTTTTTTAGGCAACAATATGATTACTATCAAATAAACTGTTGGGGACATTAGATACCCAGAACTCACTTGATAAACGTCCTAGTTTTGGATTTTTTTATGTTTTCGTGCATGGGCTGATCAGTTGACCTTGAGATTAAATTTACCTCCCGCGAAATCTTAGGCTGTCATTGGTAACTGTGTTATTTTAGTGTGCTATTTTTGTGGCTCTCCCAAGGATGCTTCTGTCATGTTTAAATAAACTCGATTTGTGTGCTTGAGATCATTGTATTTTCTGGGTGCTTGTAAAATACACTTTCTACGCCATATCAAGACTTCTTCATCTGTTTAGTGAGGTGGCCTTGCGACGCTTGGATTAGAGTAGTCTGTCATATCACTGGATCATTTATCTTCGCTCTCGTTTACCAAATAAGGTGAACTCGTAATAGCGTTCAAGCATACCATTTGAGGAGCATGACATAAATATTGAGTGACATGTCACAGTTACGTCATTTTCTGCTGATGAATATCATGATAATAATAATAATAATAATAATAATAATAATAATAGTCTTAAAATAACACAGTTTTCAAAATTTCTCTTCTGAAAATTATAATCAATTTCAGTTCTATATGACATCGTTTCTTATAAACGCAAAAAAACGAAATCATTTCTACTGATATTTCACCACTTAGTGTTAACAACTTGGTCAAAATAAAAATGTTCTAGGATTTACAAGAAATCACAGCTTATATGTTGTGAATGGTTAGCCAGTGAACTAATTGATAGAGATCACAGATAGGTATATGTTAGGTTCGTCATTAGGTATGCTTGAAACCAATATAAGTTCACCTTAGTCGATAAACGCACCAGTATCCAGGTAGGCTACTTCGATCCAATGACTAACCGAAAGTCTTGGTATAGCGTAGAAAATATATTCTACAAACACTCAGCAAGCACAATGCAATCAAGCATACAAATCTCGTTTATTTATACATCATAGAAACGTCCTTGTAACAGTCACAAAAGTAGCCCACTAAAATAGTACAGCAACCAATCACAGCCAAGAATTTTCCTGATTGGAAATGCAATCTCAAGGTCAACTGATCAGCCCATGCTGGAAAACGTGAAATCCAAAATTAAGACATTTATCGAGCGAGTTCTGGGGATCTAACGTCCACAATAGCATAGAGTATTGGATTTAACAAGTGTATATACTCCAAAAAAACGGAGAGTTTTAATATGATAACAATTTTTTCCCCAGCTTATTACACTTGTCGAAATCATGAAGCAATAAGTGTTCCATCACCATTGAAATCCTGTAAGCATTGAAGGTATTTTTTGTTCAAGTGTGAGACCTTTCGGCAGTGAGCATTCACAACCCTGCAAGCTAAAATCAAGAGCAAAACGTTCGGTTTCGTGTGCGAATGCCTTGTGAGGAAATTCTCGAACTTTTAGTAAGAAGCCATAAGTAATGGATTTCAAATGTACTAGAAATGAGACAGTTACTCATTGAATATTATGGTTGACAGACGCAGACAGAAGTTAGGCATTAACAGGATCAAGTGTTGGCTGAGTGGTCTAGCGGTTAAGCGTCCGTGTACGAGATCGAAGGTCCTATGTATGATTTTAGCTTACTGGGTCGTTAATGCGCAAAGCTGAGTGGTCTCATACTAGAAACGTAACAGTTGTCCGGTGCTTTCCGAATTTCACTGGTAGTTTAACATTCATCAGTTCATTATTCCAGGACGGAACGGCCGTCCAGTGCTTCCAGGTTTTTAACGGTAGTCTAAAAATGATTGATTGATGATTTCAAATCTATTCTCATTACTCTAAGATAATCCATGAAATGTTTCGTTTCATAAAAAAAATACATAAAATAAACTCAACTAACACGCATAATAATTAATCGATTTAAACATACCGACTCAAAAGTAAAATTCATATTTTCTTGTCAACTCACTCAAGGTCACATTCATTGACATACATTGTTACACTGAAATGATCTCTCCATAATGAATATTAAAAATCAAAGAGAAACCTCTCATTTTCTCTCTAATTCTCTTATAAGTTCAATTTTTTCTATTCACTGTTAAATATTTTTTGGTTTGAACCATGTATTCTTGTTGGCGTTTTTTTAGCGCGTTAGTTTTCTGAGGGATAGGGTGGCTAACAGCATGCCCAACTCTCCCACTTTATCCGGGCTTCGGGGAGGTAGGGGCTTTCAAAGGAATCCAGGCGGAAGAAGCACTGGAAGTAGATAGGAAACATATTGAAGAAACTACCCAGTTGCGTCATAAGACAAGCCGTCACTTGGAATTCTCAATGCCAAAGAAGCAAAGCAAGCTCATAAGACACATTACGCCAAGAAACAGATATGAGAAGAATGTACATAGTAGGTCGGATAGAACTAGAGAAGAAGGCTTAGGATAGAGCAGGTTGTAGAATGCTGGTCAGCTGCCTGTGTTCCATTGATAGGGAGGGTAACAGGCGTCAGTAAGTAAATAAGTAAATTTTTTTTCTCTGATCTGAACAAAATGTAACAAATATTTTTAAAATTCATTTATAATCATAGTTTAAGGTCAGAAAATCAATTTCCTTTTACTATTATTACTACTACTACTACTACTACTACTACTGCTACTACTACTACTACTACTACTACTACTACTACTACTACTACTGCTACTACTACTACTACTACTACTACTACTACTACTGCTACTACTACTACTGCTACTACTACTACTACTACTACTACTTCTACTACTACTTCTACTACTACTACTACTACTACTACTGCTACTACTACTACTACTACTACTGCTACTACTACTGCTACTACTACTACTACTACTACTGCTACTACTACTACCACTACTACTACTGTGGTGCTGTGTTGCGAACT